AATTTCTTGTAGATAGTTTTAACTTCGAAATACACTGTGTTTCTGCAGAGCGCAATGCGTAGCACGATGTTTACTATTCGGAGTACGAACTCTCTGATGATGATCTACTTGAATCTTACAGTTAACTAAATATACTTTGCTTGAAAGATCGGCCTTAACGTTTAGCCACGCCTCCTTTCTTTCCTTTAAACCACGCCTATTGGCGGAACTTGGAGGAGGTTAAATTGGGTATAAACAATTATACATCTTTGCTGAATTTGCAATTGAAATGCAATGAATTGTTTTCTTCTTAAATCAAATACTTAATAAAGATGCAGAGATTTGCTTTACATTGCGATAAAGCTATTTTCATATTAAACCACGCCTATTGGTGGAGCTGCAAACAGCTACCAATTATAAGCCTTTATTAACAATTTATGACTTAAGAAGTCAAACATTTCTGGTTCCAGTCATGTTTTATTGTCAGAGACGAAAGTTTAGATTATTTTTTGAATGTTTTGTATTTAGCCACGCTTTCTGGTGGGGCTTTCACATGTCTAAAGTCTAAAAAACAGCTAAGTGTCAGCTGAGATTGACCACAAAGATTTTCACACAAAAAAATTCATTGTTAAAAAGAATAATAATTCAGATAACAATATTTTGCAAGCAACACGCTTCGCCTCCTGGAAGAAGTATTTTATCAAAAATACCTTTTTTAAGTACAAAGTCAAATACTCCTGAAAGAAAGATTATCCTTAACATTTAGCCACGCTAACGCTCACTAGTGGAGCTGTGTGCCTAACTGCAATTTAGCTGCAAAAATTTTCCAATTGGTGATTTAATAAAACATTTTCTTGAACAGTCTGGTTCCTCGAGTTGGAGTGGAATCTTTGACTTCGCGAAAATTTAACAGAAAATAGACAAACAACACCCCAAGTATTCAGTTACGCATCCCGCGGTTAAACAATAAATCGGCTAGCGTTAAGACTCCCTAATATAACAGCTGCCAATATTTTAAAGAGTTATTTTCACGGAGCCTTCAGGCTTGAAAGTTTTCCTTTCTATCCAAACTCATTAGTTCTGTTTGCTTGCCTTCAGCGCTTCGCAGAATATTAATAGCATAATTAAAAGTGAGTTAAGGGTGTTGAAAATTCATTAACTTGATGAGCTGTAATGCAATCGACGCGACATTGAATGTGGGAGTATAACCAGCAAAAAAACCACTATTTAAACCATGCTGTTATATAATGTGCTTGCAAAATTCCAATCAGTTTTCACAGTGTAACATGAGGTGGACACCCAGACGTGTTTCTTATGCCGGCCCTCAATCGCTTGCCCAGGTCTTCATCGACTTTGGCAAAGTTATCAATGGCCCTTTCAGCTATCACGCAGTTTGTCTGTCTCAGCCAAATTAGCATGTTTTCGATTGTTCGCTCTCTTTCGTCGTCGTTAATCACCTGCCGAGTGTTAAAAAAAATTTTGCGTTTACTTGAAACGTTTGGAAACCTCGACCTACTCTTGTCCATAAAAGTCGTGCCTGGGAATAGTTATCAACCAAGCCGTTATCGGTCCTATCGGCCACTCCATTGAGAGGAATCCTCGGAGCCAAAGCTCTGGCTCTTTTATCATTCCTCGGGCCATTGAAGCTATTCGGAAAGTAATTGGGCCCGCCTCCCTGGCTGAGTATTGTCGAGCGACCATCACGATTGTAATTGTGCAGCTAAAAGAAACACTTGAAATTACATAAAGCCAAGAACACTGCCACACATCTAATAATATCTCATCATCGAACGGAAAATGTACGTCGAACATAATATCGCTGACATTTTAACAGGCCTGAAGATTAACTGCCTTGGCAGTTACGGGCTCTAATAGTTATTATTCTAAATTGTTTCCAAATAGCCGGAATTATTTAGGGTCTGGAACGTAAAATAAACTCGAATATTTTATCGAATTTACGGCCTTTGTTGATTTTTAGTTAATTGGGACACTGTGTACATTTCATTGGTAGTTTACTGATATTTGGATAAAATCGCAACTTAACACCAACATTTTTCGGTTAAAAAATCAGGAAGTGTACGTTTAGCATATTGGAATAAGCCACGCCTCTGGGCAGAGCCAAAGTTTTGGATTGTAACCAGGGCAATAAGAACGACTTTTAGGTCGCGCCCCTAGGCGGAGCTAAGCAGCGCTCACCAAATTCAAAGCTAATTGAACATGTATAGAAGAAACAAACTCGAAAAATTACCTTGAATGGTGAGTTAACTGGCAACTGAGTGTTGTTGATGCCCAAACGATACCGATGAGTGTCCCCGTAGTTGAAAATTCTGCCTTGAAGCATTCGGTCCGGCGAAAAGTTAATTCCTAGAAACCAAACTCATCGAATAATCAACCACGAAAATAGCCGCTGATTATCTTATGAAATCATCGAATTAGTCTGATGAAACCGTGTGATTAATGCTCATCGACAGCCAAAACGTCGGCCGTCCTAAAAATATGCGTGCGGACAGTAGATTTTTCAGTACAGTGGGCGAACCTGGGTAAATAGTAAACACTTAGTATATATTTTCGCGTGTCCTTTACCCAAAAATGTATTTTTAACGTTGCGATTCACTGGACAATCTAGTTCAATGCCGATTAAGCGGGGCCTGAAAATAAACAGAATTAAGCCCACTGGTCGCTTACCAGGGATGATGTGCGATACGTCGAACGCCAGCTGTTCCACTTCAGCAAAATAGTTGGTCGGATTCTTGTTCAGAACAATTCGTCCCACGGGAATTAAGGGATAGTCTGCATGTAGCCAAACTTTTGAATTATCAAAGGGATCGTAAGGGTTCTTAACCGCTTGCTCCGGGGTCATCACCTGGAAGGAGTGTTTTAGCCCATGAAAATGGTTTTCTGGATATTCTCCAGGCCTACCTGTATATAAAATGACCACGAAGGATAGTTCTTATTGTGAATGGCATTGTACAAGTCGCGGGAATAGTAATCAGGATCAAGTCCAGCCAGTCGGTCCGCTTCGCTTTGCCATAAGTTGGAAATTCCTAAAATATCCACATTGAAGACAGGCCGAAGTTAATTGTTTTAGTGTGAAATGAGGGCTGAATGTTCGCAGTGTGTGTAGATTAGGAAAAAACAGCAATTTAATTGTTTTTCACCCTATGGTTAACCACGCCTCTGGGTGGAGCTTAATATTTCAACTATACTTGACTAAATATTTATGCAAAATATTTCTAGAACAAACTATTTTCTGATCCTGTTTCTTTTCTATTACCATAAAATGCATTCAATCTAATCATAAAGTTACTCCTTTTGACTATGTTTTTACAAGACTGTTTTTTATACCTTATGTGGAATCTGACCACGCCTCTGGGAGGAGCTAAAAATTGGGCGGAGTTATACATTTAAAAAAATCAAAAGTTAGTTAAATTTCAAAAAAATTTCAATTTCAAATTGAAGAAAAAAAATGTTTTCTGTCAAAAATCGAGAATATCACTATATAATCAGCAGTCTGTATTTTATTAGCTCACGTGAAAACGAAATTGATCTAAAATAAAAAGCAACATACTTCAAGCGAAATCACGTACTAAATCGCTAAAATAATTGAAATTCGCATAGTTTCATTTAAAAAAGTGGATTGAAAAGCGGCAAATTTACCAGATTATACAATTAACTAACTTCATCTAAAACCCTACAAAATCTAGGAAAAACATCTCATATTTTTTTTAGATTTCTGTAGCAGTTTTCAAATGAAGTTGGAACCATTCGAGTGTATCTAGGAAACTTCAATTTAAGCCAAAAAATAACATTTCCAAGTTAAAAAAAGGGGAAAGACGATCTAAAAACCATCTTTATTACTTGGCCACGCCTTAAGGCGGAGTTAAAACTAACGCAGTGTATAATCGTATACTTAGCCACGCCTTCGGGAGGAGCTCAAGATTTGAAAACAATTTCCAATTCAAATAGGTCAAGTCAGAACTTCAATTCCAACGAAAAAATGTTGACAATAAAAAACATGATTTAATAGTCATTAAAATCTGGCTTAATACTTGGCCACGCCTCAAGGCGGGCTACAAGAAAATCTGAAAAATAGGAAGTCTCTAAAATATTTGAGATTTACGGTCCAGTTGTAGCTGAAGCAGTGCAAGTTCGTCTAATTGACTCTTCAACTTGATTCTAAAAAGCCATTTTATCGCAAAACCTCAAATTTAGTGAAATAATTTCGAAAATTATTTTAATACTTCGCCACGCCTCTAGGCGGAGTTAGAACCAATCGGCTATATACTGTTACAGTTAGCCACTCCCCCAGGAGGAGCTAAAACCTACTCAGTCAAAAATGTTGCGGTTATCTTCAATTAAGACTCCACTCCACACAGTGGCTCATCAGCTTTCGTCAGATGAACAACAGCTCTTCAAACGATCCACTGTTTGACTTTCCTTATTTGTTACAAAGTGTTTCACACTCGCGGTCCAACCTCGAGGTTGAAGCTTCACTAAGTGTGTGTTTTTGCCCTCCCCCAGACCAAGA